CTAAGTTATAACGAAGAAGCTATGGCCAAAATACTAAACCAAGCTCAAACCGAGCCTTACTTGCGACCCAATGTGTAGTGTCCATTAACTTTAACCTCATTCCTAAATCCATTAGGATTTATTATTAGCTTCTAATTAATGCTCTAGAAGGTTCTAATTATTTTGTTTTTGAAAACATAAAGACTAAGAATTTTATATCGGATAAAATATTTATTTTTTAATAGATTTAATTCTATAAACACCCAATTATATCCGTACCCAATTTGATTGGAAGTTGGATTCCATACGGATTATATCTTCTAAAAATATCGCTAGGCGATAGAAATATCACGCTACGATACTAATATCGCGCCGCGATATAACGAACTGTTTTTCTGATCTTTTCCCCGTTTTTCCCTATAAATAGAGGACGTTTTCCTCCGTTTTGATTCACCAACAATCATCATCTTTCTCCCTCTCTAAGCTAAAGCTTATTATTCTCTCCCTCTTAATTTCTAGCCTAGCCTTAGCCTAAACACATCCCAGCACACATCTTTGAAACTTTCCTAAACAAACACCATACGTCTTTTGCGAGACTTGAATACTCCAAGCCCTTCTCGAAGTTGCCTTCAACCTCGACGTAAAAGGTTGATAGTTCTGAGGGTTTGGTCCCAAATCTATATTTCAATTATTATTTGATTTATTTGTTGGTTTAATCTTTCTTGAAGTTTACTAACGTGTGTATTGTTTTGATAGAAAGAGATACGAGCCATCAAAGTAAGTAATTCGATTACTTTATTATTCCTTTGATATAGAAGTCATGTTTAGAGTATTATTTTAATTCCTAGTATTATGTTAGGATGTTTTTTTGATTTCTAGTATCATGTTAGGATGTTATTATGATTTCTAATGTCATGTTTCTAGTATCATGTTTAGGCTAAAGCTTTGATCTTTATTGTTAGTGACATGCTAGGATTTGTTATAAATCCGTTTAGTATCATGCCTAGGATCTTGCTAATTATATTTATTCTAATGATGATGATTGTTGTGTCAATAATTATACATTGCTTGATTATTCATGATTTTATTGTTATTGCTTGATCACGCCCTTTTCTGCAGGTTTAAAGGGAATTAGTACTTGAAATCACGCCTAATAAGATAATTAATAATTTGTTTTAGGCTAATATGATTTTAATTCAAGTGATCGTCAATAATAGATTTATTTGTGCATTAATAATCAATCAACGAGATTAAATATGCTTAGGATTAATTTAATGTATGGATGTTGATCGAAAAGCGCACATGAATATCATAAGAATATATTAAGTAGAGACCAATTTAGGGCGGGTTCAATCTCTTTTAGGTTAGATTCGTACCATCATTCTCGAATATCCAGTCATGGTTCCAGACCACTATGGAGTTAGCGATCTCCATGATTGTAAATGGGGTGTAACCTTCACACTCGTGAACGGTTTACAAGTTCCTAAAACTTGTTGGCGACTCTTTTATCTCTAGCTTCTTTCCCTTTGGACGCCATCATGCTTGAATGCATGATCACAGTGGGGCTCAAAGTTGATTTTGAAATATTCCCTAAAATGTCACAGTCCTCGTGCGACACCAATGCACACCCTAGCAAAATTGATTGTTCGTGGTGGTTAACACCAACAAAATTCACAAAAAGGAAGGTCATACTCGTTTGTCAAGTAGGTAGCATCAAAACAAACCACATCCCCAAACTCTTCATATGTCGCACGACTACGAGCATCCACCCACAATACATCTTTGAGCCTCCCCTCACCGTCCAACCTCTGAGCATGATAAAAATTCTGGTTATCAACCTGCATTTGTTGAAAATACAACATCATGGCAGTTGAATCTCCACCCACCATTTTCAACCGCCTTGCCTTGTACACCTCATGTTGAAGGTCTTTGACGGTAAGTGACATGGGATCGGGTCCATTTGTCTCAGAGGATAAACATCCATGAATTTGTGAAACAGGAACCCCCTCATCAAAAAAATTCAACAGTTTACTTCTAACTGTTAACGTAAATTGTTTCATTCGATACTCCTTAACCAGCTTCGCCTTACCCGGTGATGGTGTGTAGTTATTATGTTCCAACTCTACATCTTTCAACACCCACTCTCCTTGTTGGTTGACCCTTGCATAAGTCTTTGCTTTACTCACATTTTTTGGACCTACGCTTCTTACGGCTTAGTTCATCCTCACAGACTATACCACCTACTACTCCACCGGTTCCACACGCATCCATAGCCTTTGCCCTCTTCTTAGCTTCCCTCTGAGCCCTCATGTTCGGTCTCCCCCAACATTCACACCTCCAAGTTGTTGCAATTCGATCTCTACCCTCACCTTTAGAATACACACCTTGAACTCTACTTATACCAAAACCATGTTGTTCACCTTATTATTTGTAATAAGCCTCCACATCTTGCCAGCTTTTAAAAACCATTCCAACCTTAGGTGCCTCCACGTAAGTAACTACACTTATATGATCGCTAGCAACAATGGTTTGTACCGTCTCAATTGTTTTAAATGGGGATAAAAAAATTGTCGCCCATTCGGATTTGATGGTCCAAGTGGAGTCGTAGGAACTTGTCCCTCTACGTATGGAACAATTAGACCTTGATCATCATGTACATCGTGACTACTAATACCAGCGCACTTAACACCACTTCCCTTGTCATGAACACCAAGTAATCTTCTACTACCAACACCTGGTGACACATCACATTTCTTCATAGAAGTTGCAATAGTATGTGAAATTTAACACTCTATGTCACAAACAAGTGCAATAATGCACTTTTAGATTCAAATTTCCAAAATTAGCCAATTGTGTTGAACATGTAATATGTAAATCCCTTTTGTTACATATTCAATTACATATTGTTCATATTTGTATAAATTGTACAGTATGCATTACATTGATAATGTGATGTTGATGTAGTTAATCAATCGATATTCATACACTACAACCATTTTATGTGTAAGTTATTCCATAAAATACCGGTTATTACATGTTAACATTACAGGTATTGTATATTGATTCATCATTTGCTTGTAAAATTGAACAGCCTATATCACAGTTCAACTATCTACTACATTGCAAAATAACCTATGTCTACGAATTAACCTATATATATATATATATATATATATATATATATATATATATAGAGGAAGGCTCATATAAGAACCCTCCTCTATATAAGAACCCATTATATATAAGAACTAATCTGGACCGTGGAATTAGCTTGATCTGACCGCTCAAAATGAATGATTAGTAATGGCATTTTTGTAATTTGAAGGAGTTTATTCAAATTCTTTTTCCTCTTCCTTCATCTAGTTATTTTATGTTTCTCAACTCTCAGCTTTCTCTCTCTAAAATTCTCAGCTTTCTCCCTCTCCTCAGTTCAACAGATTGGCGAAAGTTCATCAAATTCATCACGATATTTTCACAGATTTTGGATTAATTATTGTAAGTTTATTAATTTTATAATCAGATTTGTTTTAAATTTAATGATTTTTCATGCAATTTTGATGCGATTAATTTCATGCGATTATTTTGAGCATTTTCTATGTAATTGTTCTCAATATTGTTTAGCGAATATTTTGCTGCGATTTTACTACGAATTTTATGCGATTTTGATGCGATTTTTTGCTGCAATTTGATGTGATTTTGTTGCGTTTTTATGCGATTTTTTCTCAAATCTTTCCCTGATTTTTGCGATTTGTAAGCTGCGATTTTGATGCGTTTATTTCTCAATTTTTGCTACGATTTATGTTCGATTTTTACTGATTAATTCATGTTTTCGTCAATATTTTTGCGATTTTTTGCGAATTTTCTATTCGATTTTGTTTTTGGCGATTTTCTATTCGATGTATATTTATTTTGCTCGATTATTTATCAATTCGATTGTTTGATTGTTCGAATTGTTTGTTCTTATTTTGATTTTTTTTGTTCGGTTTTCTTTTGCGATTTCCCGGCACAGGGGATCTGTTCACCGGCGAGGTTAGGGTTGGCGGGGTAGAGAAAGGTTAGGTGGCGGCTAGGGTAGCGACGGCGGCGAATTTGGTGGCTGGGAAGAGGAAAAGGGTGGTGGTGGTTTTTGCTTTTCCTTTTTTTTTTTTTTTTTAATTTTATTATTTCTAGATTTTATATAGTTCACTATGTTCTAAGCAAAAGCAAATTTAGAACATAGCTATGTTCTAAACAAATTTAGAACATAAAGTAATTTACTACGTTCTAAGCAAATCAAATTTAGAACATAATTCACTATGTTATAAGGAAATTTAGAACATAAAGTAATTCATTATGTTCTAAAATAATTCAAGATGTTCTAAAGTTTTCCTTCTATGTTCTAAAATTTTCCATCTATGTTATAAAGTTTACTCTTTGTGTTCTAAAGTAATTCACTGTGTTCTAAAGTAATTCATTATATTCTAAACTATTATTTAACTATCTTAGCATGTTCTAAACTTTTATTTAGCATATATTAAGTTTACTCTTTATGTTCTAAAGTAATTCATTGTGTTCTAAAGTAGACAATCTTAGCATGTTTGTCAAAGCTTGTTTAATTAGCACTAGTCTTAACTTGGGATAACTTTTGCTTTAAAGGACTACTAATGATAGATTGATTATATAGCCAATATAATGAACCCACCTTAATGCAAGTAATCGATCATCAAATTACAATAAACGATGCTAAAGATAGTGTTTAGAAGTGCAAAAGGATATGATTAAACAAAAAAAAATTACTTTTGTGATTATCTCATATAGTTGTTAGTAGTTTTTCCTCTAGTTCAAGTGTTTTATATACATTAGCCTACTAGCTCAACGGGTAGAGCATTGTTAGTTTTTTCATTAATTTCATCAATTTCGTTTTCTAGTTTTCTTTTTCTTCTTCAATTTCCAGATTTTTCCAAATTTTATTTCTAGATTTTATTTCCTTTGCTTATTTCCAGATTTTTTATTTCCAGATTTTTCTGTTTTTTTCCTTTGCTTGAGTTTTTCAACATCGTTTTCGATTTTATCCTATTTTGTTTTCCAGATTTTTGATTTTTAATGGATTTTAATTTCTGGTTGCTTTTTTGCTACAATTTGTGTTTTTCAAAATAGGTTTATGCATATTGATGGATTTAGATGGTGTGCAACCTAATTATCCTTCTTCCTGTGTTACTCATTCAGGTAATTTTATTGTTTTCAATGTTTTAATTTCAATTTACTTACATGTTCTAAAGTTTCTTTACTATGTTCTAACATTTATCTGTAATGTTCTGAAGTTTTCTCTGTATGTTCTAAAGTTTTCTATATATCTCTCTCTCTTTATATTCTAAAACTTTCATTCTATGTTCTAAAGTTTACCTTCTAATTTTAAATTTTACTTTTTATGTTCTAATGTTTACTTTCATTGTATGTTCTAAAGTTAACCTTCTAGTTTAATTTTTTCACTTTATTGTAAATTTTATTATGTATGTTATAAAGTAATTCACTATGTTATAAGTATGTCCCTGATTTTATATGTTCTAAAGTTTATCCTTGATGTTCTAAAGTTTATCTTTGATGTTCTAAAGTTTTCTCTGTATGTTCTAAAGTTTTTTATGTATCTTTCTCTTTATATTATAAAGTTTATTTTTATGTTCTAATGTTTACTTTCATGTTCTAATGCAGTTGGTGATATTTATCGTACTCTAGAGGTTGTTGGATCATTTAGCCCTGGTGGTACCACTAAGGAATGGATTCCAAGTGTTCCCGAGGAGTTAAAACCCAGTTTGGGGATGATATTTAAAGATCCTGAAGAGGGTCTTAGTTTTTATAAAGCATATGCAAATGCCGCTGGGTTTACTTCTAGGAAATCTACTACTAAAAGGAAGAAGAATAACAAAGATATAATTGCTTTTCAATATGGAGTTTGCAATAAGGAAGGTTTTAGGGCAATAAGAAAACCTATTGCTCAACAAACAGTTTATGAAGAAGGAAAAGTTCGTATTACTAGGAAACGTTTAGTCACTCGTGTAGGATGCAATGCTCACATATGTATGAGATATGATGCTGGAAAGTATGTTGTAACTCATTTCAAAGAAGAACATAATCATCCTTTATATACTCCAAGTTGTGCAAAATTTCAGAAGGATAATAGAAAAATGCATATTATGCATAAAAAGTTGATTGTTGATAATTCAAAGGTGATTTATTTTTATGTACTAAATAATGTTTTTTTTTTTGTTTTGATTTACTATGTTCTAAAGTTAATTCTTAATCTTAGTAATATTTTTTTTTTTCTAACAGGTAAATGTTGGTCCTGTGAGGTCTTATACTATGATGAAAGAATTAGCTGGATCACATGATAATGTTGGTGCATCTAAACAAGATTTCAAAAATTTTTATAGAGATTTGAAGGCTTTTATTGATGGATCAGATGCCCAAATGTTTGTGGATAATTTTCAAAATAAGAAATTGCTCTGGAGTGCATTTTTTTTTTCCTATGATGTTGATGAAGAAGATAGACTTTGTAGAGCTTTATGGGCTGATCCAATCTGTCGAAAAAATTATGCACTTTTTGGTGATATGGTTTCTTTTGATACCACATTCAAAACAAACAGGTGATGTTTTAAATATAAATTTACCTCTATGTTCTAAAGTTTACCTCTATTTTGTAACATTTTCTGCATAAATAATTTGTGTATGTTACAGATATAATATGATCTTTGGTCCATTTACTGGAGTTGATCATCATAAAAAATGTGTTACTTTTGCGGCTACTTTTGTAGCTCATGAGGATATATCATCTTTTGAATGGGTTTTCAAAACTTTTCTTAAAGCAATGGGAAATAATGAGCCTGTGTGTTTGATTACCGATCAAGACCCTGCAATGAAAGTTGCTGTTCGTAATGTTTTTCAAACTACAGAACATAGGTTTTGTATGTGGCATATTATGAAAAAGGTGCCTGAAAAAGTAGGTCGGGCGATTGCCCAAGACACTGATTTCTTGAAAAAACTGTGTTCATGTGTTTGGCATTTAGAGATTGAGCCGGCAGAATTTGAAGAAAAGTGGAACAAAGTTATTTCAGAATTCCATTTGAACGATCATGAATGGTTGGCATACATGTACAACATACGTGATATGTGGATTCCAGCGTATTTCAGAGATTTATTTTTGGGTGGCATTATGAGGACCACATCTAGATCAGAAAGTGAAAATAATTTTTTCACTATGTTCACAAATCCCCATCTCACTTTGATTGAGTCCTACATGAAGTAATAAGTAATTGTCTATATATGTTCTAAAGTTACTCTTTATGTTCTAAAGTTTTCCTTGTATGCTCTAAAGTTTTCTTTTTATGCTTTATAGTTTTACTATTTATTTTATAATTCTCTTTTATGTTTTCTTTTTCTCTTTATGTTTTAATAATATTTAGATCATAATAAACATGTCATGTATATTTATATTTTTTAATGTAATTCACTCTATGTTCTACAATTATCTTCTATGTTTTAAAGTTAATTTCTATTTTCTATAGGTTTGAATGTGCATTGGATGCTCAAAGGCACACTCAAAATAAAATGGATAATGATTCGAAGAATAAGCGTCCGGAGTGTAAGACTCCAATTCCTTTAGAGAAAGATGCTTCTGAATTGTTTACAACAACAATTTTCTATGAATTTCAATATGAGCTTGAAATTGGATGTTTTAATTGTGGTGTTGAGGAGATGAAGAAGGACAATGAGCTTTACATTTTCAATTTGAGGGAAGGAACTAGAAGGAGGACTTTTGATGTTGTTTTTGATCCAACTACCTTTGATACCAAGTGTTTTTGTAAAAAATTTGAACGTGATGGTGTGCCTTGTAGGCATATGATTTGGGTGTGGAAGGCAAGGATGTTAGAAAAAATTCCCAAGGCCTACATTCTAAATAGATGGTGTACAATGGCTTATAAGAAGCCCATTTTTGATTTAGAGGGTAATGTGTTGGAGGAATGTATTAATGCAGTAGATAAGAAAATGTTATTAAATGATTTGTGGTCTGAAATTCATGCTTGTGTGAGTTTAGTGCAAAACAATGAAGATGATCTTAGTGATCTTGTCAAAAAACTTCGAGCCATGAGGGTAGATTTGGAACAGAAGAAAACAAATGGAAGCAACAATCTTTCGAGCAAAGTTAAAGACATTGAAATGCTTATTGGAGCTAGTCTACCTTCTAATGTTTTAATCAAACCTCCTAAAATTTCGAAGAACAAAGGCACGGGGGTTCATGTTCCAAATCAGGTCAATGTTCCAAATGATGTCCATGTTCCAAATCAGGTTCATGTTCCAAATCAGGTAAATGTTCCAAATGATGTCCATGTTCCAAATGATGTCCATGTTCCAAATGAGGTTCATGTTCCAAATAGTGACAAAAGAATGAAGAGTGACAGAGAAAAGTCTATTGAACAAAGTCAAAAGAAGAAGAGATTATGTAGAGCATGTGGGGAGCTTGGTTATCATGATAGTCGTAATTGCCCTGGAAAAGTCAAGTGATATTGTAAGTAAACTTTATTTTTAATTTTCTTATATTTATTTTGTTCTAAAGTAATTATGTTTTAAGCAAGTTTAGAACATAAAGTTATTCATATATGTTCTAAAGTAATTCAATATGTTCTAAAGTGTTTTCTCTTTGTTCTAAAGTTACTTTTCTATGTTCTAAAGTGTTTTCTCTATGTTCTAATGTTTATTCTTTCTGTTTTAGTGTAATTTACAACATAATCATATTATTTAGAACATATGCACATAATTTAGAACATAATCATACAATTTAGAACATATGCACATAATTTAGAACATAGCTAATTTCGAACATAATCATATTATTTAGAACATATGCACAAAATTTAGAGCATAACTAATTTAGAACATAATCTTATAATTTAGAACATTAGTGTATAGCAATTCAAACATGACAAATCATAATTTTGAACATAACATTGATAATACTTATGATTTTAGAATATGATTTTAGAACATAACATTCTACTACTTACGTAGAATTAATATGGATTGGTAAATCCAATTCCAAAAAGCCTCCAAAACCAATGTTCCGAAATAGCTTGCTTTTGTTTTTCCGAAAGATTTATCAACACATCCTTCATGAATTGAGTAGGAGGTACTCTTTGATAAGGTTGCCTCTTAACTAGTTTATCTTGCTCATTAGCTTCTACTACTTGGACATCCTCACCATCTTCTTCTTTTTCAATCTTTCTTTTCTTCTTCTTCACATCCTCACCATGAATAGATAAACATAATTAGAACATAGATAAGCAAAATTAGAACATAAGCGTGCACTTTAGAACATAAAAATAAAGATTGTAAAGATTAAAGAGTATTATTACCTGAGTTTGATTTTTTTTATTGATTTTTTGTTCCTCCTCACTATCATCTTCCATCTCCTCTTTTTCATCTTTCTCTTTCATCTTTACATCACCCTTATTATCATCCTCACCATCATCTTTACTATCATTATTCTTGTCATCATCCTCAACATTATTACCCTCTTCTTCTTTTTGATCTTTTCCTTCTTCTTGATCTTTTTCTCTTCCTTCCTTTTTTTGCAATTTTCGAGGTGGTTGAAGCCTTGTTGGAAGTTTTCTATGTCTTATAGCAACACTTTTACTTTCAATATGCTTCTCAAATTCCGATCTATCAATTACTTCCGCTTCAACGTTTTCAACTTTCCTTTAAAAACAATTAAAAATAATTAGAATACAACTAACATTAAATAGAGTGCAAATATAAAGGGATAAGATGAACATAAACTATAATGGATACATATTAGAACATAATACAAATCTTCAGAACATAAGAGAAAATTTTAGAACATAATGGAAAACTTTAGAACATAATGGAAAACTTTAGAACATAATACAAATCTTTAGAACTTAAGGGAAAACTTTAGAACATATTGGAAAACTTTAGAACAAAATTTAAAACATAATAGGTAAAGTTTAGAACATTAGTTTAGTTACCTTTTTCTTACATAAGTAATTTCTTCTTCTTGTATATTAGTAACTCCTTCTTCTGATTTTTCTTCATTTTGGCCTTGCATTTTACTGCAACATTAAGAAATCAAAAACATTAGTAACATTCCAACATTATTATTATATTTTTGAACATAGGAATAATTTAGAATATGCTGAAAAATAGTTTAGAACATGCTAGAGAGTGAAAAACCCAAAATAGAATGAGTAAACTAGAAATTTAAAAGACAAATGAAACAGAAACATGATAAGGTTTGATTGAGTTTATTTTCAGCCCATGTTCTAAATTATTTCAACCTATGTTTTAATTTTTTCTTATGTTCCAAATTTTTTCTACCTATGTTCTAAAGTTTGTTTTCAGCCCTGCAATCACAAGTTCACTACTAACAACCCCTAACCAATTAACAACCCCTATGTTCTAAAGGATCCATTAAAATGCACAGTCGATATATAAGTGAACTCCATGCAAAAGGATCCGAAATACAATGCATAGTTCCCAATATGCTGAATTGCTGATTGTAGAATGAAGACCCAATGAACTAGAGAAACTCAAGTATAAGACCATAAAAGGCCTGGAGAACACAAAGGAATCTGAGTCACCAAAGAAATAAATCCTCACCAAAGCCAATTGTCATGTTGCTGCTGATGGAGTCAAACCTTGCAAAGGTCTAGCATGGGGAAGAAGTCGAGTACCATATGCTGTTAGCTGAGTTTACTAATGAAAAGCTAATTAACATGCCTCAGTCTTGGTTTAAATTTATAACAAAACCTCAAAGAAATTAACCACCAGCCTCATAAAATCAAGCAATGTCACTGCGATCAAGCATATCGATCAAAGTCATTTTGACAACATTCTAATTTTACGCCTTTTTTATGATTCCTCTTTGATTGTAATGTCACATCGTATTATGAACGAATTGACAGCGATGGGTCGGGATGATAACTGATTTTATGTTGTCTCTGTTCTAGATGCTCTATTATTGAATTTTCTTCGGTACATTTTCCCATTGAATAATTCAGCAGCATTTAGCAATGCTTTTAAAACGTGGAATTATATATCGTAAAAATCAAAGATCCACCTCCATTATGATTATGTTGTCGGGTATCCATTAATTTAAACGTAGACATAATAGAATGAGTTTAGAACATAATTTTTTAAAAAAAAGAGTTTAGAACATTATCCATTAATTTAAACATAGACCATAATAGAATGAGTTTAAAACATAATTTTAAAAAAAAAAAGAGTCTAGAACATTATACAAGCCTGTTCGAAATTGACAGAAAACAAACAACAAAAATCGAACAAAATAATTCAAACATAAATTGAACTAATTAAATCGAACAAAATCGAACAAAAATCAAAATATTAGCAAAATCGAACTAAAATCAAGCAAAATTCGAACTAAAATCGAGCAAAAATCAAACAAAATAATCGAACAAAAATCGAACTAAAATTGAACCCTAAATTTGAACACTAAAGCTATCTAACTTACTCAAAAATAATAGTATGTGCTGGTAATTCGAGGCCTCTGGGTTGTGTCATGGGCGTTCAGTATAATATGAATTTTTTCATACAAAATCGAAAAGAAAAACATACAAAATCGGCTTTAACTCATGCAAAATTCATGAAAATCAAATCGCAAAAATCAAAATCGCTAGTTTGCAAACATCATGCGATTGAAATCACAAAATCGAATTGAATATCATGTGAAATTCATAAAATTAGAACATAATCAAAGAAAAACGTACCTGATTTGAGCAATTTAGGTTGTTTTGCAGCAATTTGGGCTAGATTTTGAGATTTGAGGAGAGAGAAAGTAAAGAGGATTGAAAGTTTGAGGAGAGAGAAAAGTATGAACGTTTGGGGAGGGTTTTGGGGGATTTTTTTTTTTGTTTTAATCTTGACCGCTCATCCTAATCTAATCCTACGGATGAGATTGGTTCTTATATAACTAGGGTTCTTACATAAGGAGGGGTTCTTACCGGATCCCTCCCCTATATATATATATATATATATATATATATATATATATATATATATATATATATATATATATATATATATATATATACCAACAATTAAACACAACAAATACTAATTCATGCATCATTAAGTACATTGACACAGTTTACCGCACTATATATTACGACTGATTGATCAAAGTGTCTGGACATGACCTTAATCTACGAATTAAACTCCAAAATTGAGTACATTTACACAAAAAAAAAATTACGATTTCATGTAACAGGAAACATTGTTTTGGAACTGCAGCACTTACTGATCTCAACGACTGTATTCCTGTATTCAGATCCAACCATAGATTACTGTCTTCAAATGTTCAATGATTCAATGGAGTGTCTCACGGTGAGCTTCAAACAAGATTCATATTTTTAATCTCCAACAATAATTCAATCCAACAACCCACTTAGTTAAGCATTAAATTCGTACAAAAAGAATTATTAAAATAATTCAGCATTAAATGGAGCCATAACGTCTACCCCATTCTACCTTCCACCGTCAACTTTCTTATTTAACAAAAGTACCTTGCCGTAACCATACATCCTGTACAAATATGTCCACCTATTCATTCGCTTCCCGCTCATTCCAAGACATGTAAGCTACCTGCCTACGTGTACGCAAGATAAACGAAATTTCGTTTATCTCGAAGATTAATGGGGACTGCCTCATTAAATTGAGCTGGAGAATGAGAAAAAGGTCAAAAATACAGAAAGTAGTAATAATGAAAACTAAAAAGTGGTAAACAAGGAGAAAATAGAAGTTTAAATCACAACTCAGTTGGTGTAACTGTGTTATGCAAAAATACTACTTCCGCTATACTAGTATATTAGTTACATTTAGGGGTGCTACATATTAGTTGTAAAATTGTAACCTCACCTCACCCTTACTTAAAAAATCGTAACCTCACCTCACCCCTATAAAAACTACTCACCCCTAAAGTATTTGCTTATCATAACCCTAAAGAATTTATCGACCCCTAAAAATCATACAAAATTGCCCGCCTTTAAATAGTTTTCTCACCCCCTAAGATCCTTTCTGTCAAACACTTTGATGGTATTACAGGTGATGTTACTGATTATATGATCCTTTTCTATCAAACACTTTGATGGTATTACAGGTGATGTTACTGATTATAGGATCCTTTTTTGTCAAACACTTTGATGGTATTTCCTTTAGTTATCATGAAACTTAACATGTTAAACGTTGGTTGGATGGATCATAGGGCTTTTAGTAGTAATGTGCAAGGATGGAATGATGAATGTGGTTGTTAGTGTGAGAGTTGTTTGTATGAGCTCTTAATTGCAACCAAAGCTGAAATTGCCTCGTTGTATATGTCTTGGGCAAGGTTATTTGATGTTAATTATATATGTTTTGTGTTTATTATGTAGTAATAAAGTTTGATTTAAATTGCTAATTGAGGTTTATATGTTCTGTAATTGTTAAATTAATGAAACTTTTAACAGTAGTAGCAGTTTTATCTGTAATTATATCAATCAAAACGCTTTATAGAAGATTGAGTAATTAGAAGGCCATAAACTAAACAACAATTATTTGTAATGATATGTGTAATGCTAAAATGAATGTATATTCTTTAGCTTGGATTTACTTGTAATTTGTCATCAAAGCAAACCACACACAATCATGACTCACATCGTAGAGGCCAATACGGGCAGATGTGACTCCATGACTCACTTCGTACCATCATCCTCGATCCACCTTTCGTCGTGGTTTCGAAATAAATGGAGTTAGTAATCTCATAGATTATGAAATATGAATGAGGTATAACCTTCAGGTCAATCGTTATTGCCTACCGTTGTTCTTTATCGTGGTTGTCTTAAATGATTAGTGAACGATTTACAAATTCCTTACAAATTTGTTGGCGGATCCCTACTTTATTTGTCCCTAATCGTATAATGTCAATTCTCACTTCCTATGATTGCCAAACATATTCACACATGCTTAAGTAGGCGCGCTTTGAATGACGCATACAATTCCCCGTGAAAGTCCTTCAACGTCTAAATTGTAGACAAACTATAAACTAAATACAAGAAAGCACTATCAAATACTTTTGATATGGACAATGATTGTAGCAAGTAAGAAGCAAAAATAATAGTGGGTGTTCCTCACTTAGAAGCTATCCGATTAACACATAATACCCCTTTTAATGTCACATGCTTCAATTAACATCCTAATCACAGCTTCCAAAGAAAGAACTCATGCCTTGACAAAGCTCGCCAAGGGGAGAATGGCTAACATTGCTCTTGACAGAGGTCAGGTCTTCCTGTGTGCATCCAAAGACTAATGCTAGCTGATCCTCACTCTCAAACCAGATTCAACAATAATTGGCTCTTCTTAAATTGTTTTAGAGGTTGCATATGTTTATTGGGTGGTTCAGTCAAACAATATAACTCATAGTGTTAAATGCTAATATCTAAACCCAGATCTTCCACATAAAATCAAATTCAAAACTAGAAAATCTGCATTGCCTCGTAAAAACAAATAAATTATACGAAGGAAAAAAACACCAAAAAAAATTGAAGCAGATAACCAACTAAGACATTACAGAAGAAAATAAATTAGCCTAGATAATAATAAAGATGAAATAAAATCATCAAATTTAACGGTTTACAAATTAATCAGGCATAATTAGTAAATTTTAAATTTACAAAAATGAAATCTAACCTGAAAATCAGCGGAATTTCATATCATAATTGCAAATTGGGATAATTTTTGTTTTGCCAACAGTAGTTGATCAATTCCCCCCGTATCTTACCGTATTAAAAAAAAAAAAAAAAAGGCAATAGTTGATCAATTCTTGTTAAAATTATATTTTTACTCAAAGGAAATGAAAAACTAATCGGTTGTTCAGTATCACAAACAACCTACAATAAAAGCCCAATTAATCAGACCCTCAATCCAAAAATAAATAATTAAGAAATTACAACAAACAAAAAAGGTGGAAAATTTTACTTGCTTGATATCACACATGATAACAACGACGATGGAGGTCAGTCTAAACTCCTCCCTATAGTTCACAATCGACAAGTCAATATTAAGCAAACATGACATATTTCCAAAATTAAACAACAGAATTATCGAAAAATGAGCGAATATTAGAGTTATACATGAAAACAAAGAAGCCAATTGGAGGCCTCTTTGGCTTGTTAGGGACCTTTGTTGGCTTCCCCTTCTTAGCTGCGGCTCCTACAAAATAACGCCACAAAATATCAAGTTTCAGAGTAATAAGAGATCTAAATTAGAAAAGAGAAAGAGAAACATACCTGAAGAAAAGATATCAGAAAAATTGATTTCTGAAGAGAGAAATTAGAGTAAAATGTGGTGTAATCTGATTGAAGAAAAGATATTCAGAAAAACTCATCAACTTAACAGATGAAAAATATAAGAGTAAAATGGCGAAGAGATTTAGAAAAAAATTGAAAACGATGTACACATGCAAGGAAAAAAAAGACCTCAGAAACTGCTTCAATTCAATGGAGAGTTCATCCAAACGAAATATAATGGAATGAAATAGAAGAGAGAGATTTGGAAATGGAAATGAAAATGAAAATGAAATGAAATGAAAGAGACATAATGGTTGTGACACTTTGTGATGGAATTCGGGACAGGTGTCAAAGGTAGTCAACAAACAACAAGGGCAGGGTCAGAATTTATGTGAAAGAATGAGGGTAAAAACGGAAATGCACTATTCCTTTGAATGGTAACTCATACTTTGGTTTTTGAAGGGTTTTCATTATCCGAAAGGGTACCCGTTCTGATAATCATAACGGTTTAGGTACCCGATCCGATAATTTTTTATGGGGTACGGTTATTGGGTATCATTTTTCGGGATATCCCCGCCCTCCGAACCGGACGTGAAGGTCTCCCCTCATCCGGCTCTCTGCAGGAGAATCTCCACTCGCTGCTTCCCCTAATATCCTCCCTTTACCACATTACCCGATCCGATTCGATAAGCAATTTTTTTTCCTACCTAAATCTATTTATCCAAAAACTAAACTCTTACTTTATTATATAATCACTTCATAATTCAAATGATTAGTAATATTATAAGTAATTTGGTCATGAACATGTGATATTAGTGTTGAATGATATCTTAATAATTATATTATAAAGTCTAATTTTCATTATTGGATATCATATTGGGTACCCGATAACCTATCAAAAAATCCGGGTACCCGAACTTATCGGTTCGGTTAATGGATATAATTTTTAGTGTTATTGGTTATCAGGTACCCGAACCGATAGTGCTAACGGTACTGGTACCCGACCCATGCTAGAATTTGTTTTTTTTTTCATTTAATAAATGAACAAAAATTAATGAGCAAATAACCCCGGATGTACGGTACACTTGGGTGTACAAAACTGGCTCTCGACCCATGCTTTTAAGTTTTCTTTTACGACAAAGGTTTTAAAGAGTTAAGTATAACACTAGGGTCTAAGTTTGTAGTTTTTTCACCTTTTGGGACCTATGGTTAACAATCCGGCCAACTAACTACAATTTAACCCAGGTAAAACTTAGGTCCTTCAGTTAATAAATGCTGAAAAAAAACATAGGTCTTTCATTTAGTAACATGTTAATTCCCAAAAATATAGGTCCCATATCTGATAAGGCTAAGTCAATGAATAATGTTATTTTCTTTTTATTTTTCACCATCTTTTTTAATTCTCTATACGGTAAAATAATAATATACAATAATTATGAAATTACATTTTAAAAATACACGAAGATTTGGACATGAAAATGTATGGGCCGAATGTGGTACAAAGATTATGGTGGAAAATGTGAATCATGCTAGGTATGGGAGATCCCTAAATTTAGTGAAACGCTAAACATCGCCCGCAATTTACCATATAAAGCCCACAAATATGTTATGATTTGACCATTATGCCCTTTTGCTAAAATTGAGATAATCTCGGTGTAAAAAATGTGGAGCCGTACTGGCTCGTCGGGGGAGACCGGATGGCAGGCCGGAGATGCGGGGGACGCCGGAGGTACGTCGTCGTCGACGGAAAACGAGGTAAGTGACCGCTAAAATTCACGGTTTACCGTCGTAGTGGCTACGGCGCCTAGGGTGGACGCCCAAACCGTAGCCTGGACGTCCAAGCCGGACGCCAGAACCACCAGAGTGGCGTCCAGGCTAGACGCCCAGACCACCAGAGTGGCGTCCACCCCAGACGCCCAGACCACCAGAGTGGCGTCCTGGGCAGACGCCACTCCACTGGGTGAGGCGGCCCTGCCAGGCGCCGGGTGTGGCAGCCCTGGCAGACGCCACCTTTAATAATTAATTTTTATTTTTTCCTTTTTGATTTTGTTGTTGTTTTTTATTTAATTTTTTTGTGAAAATAAAAAATCGAAAATGATTTTTTAAAAAAATTCGAAATGGGTTTTTTGTAAATTAAATTTGAAAATTCGAAATAGGTTTTTTTAAAATTAAATTTGAAAATTCGAAATGGTATATTTTTAAATTTAGTTTGAAAATTCGAATTGGGTTTTTATAAAAATTAAGTTTGATTATATATAATTATGTTTTTTTTGTGTTAATTATGTGGAAATATAGAAATTATATGTATTATCCGTTAAATGTATTTATTGTAATATATAATTGATGCAGGAATATGGTGGAGACGGAAATGATTACAGTGAGATATTTGGACATGATGGTCCATTCGAAGAAGCTCAACAGGCGATTGATTGGGCAAAACAGGTTGCAATTGCAGCTGGATTTTGCTTGGTAGTAGCAACTCATAAATCTCAACGGGATGGTAGAATGGATCGCATTTTGAGATGTGACCGTTATCGCAAAAGAGAAGAAAGAGATTTTCGTACAGCCACTCGGTTTGACACAAAGCGGAAAGGTTGTGGGTGTGAGTTCAGAGTAAAGGTTCGACAACTACGGAGTCGTGACGGTTGAGAAGTGATAGGTTACTCTAAATGGGGGTATCACAACCATGAGATGATAGTATATGAAGAGGGTCATCGACAACTGAGCGGCTTAAGTCCTGCTGCGAAACTAGTTGTGAAAGAAATGAGTGATGCTCAAGTGAAGCCTGCTAAAATATTAGCATCTGTGTTAGAGAAATTTCCAGAAGACCATCCAAACCGAAGACACATCTACAACGTCAGACAGCAACTCAGGTTTGAACGGTCAGAGGGAAGGAACCCTATACAGCAGCTGCTACACCAGGCACAATCACGTGGTTACCTGTTCTGGTTTGATTCTGATGAAGATACAGCGGAGGTGACTCATCTTTTCCTTGTGCATCCTGATTGTGCTGATATGATCAAGTCTTGGCCATTTGTGATTTTGATCGACTCAACGTACAAGACAAACAAGTACAAGTTCCCTCTGGTTGAGATGGTTGGGATGGCTCCAACGAACCAGAACTTTCTGATTGGTCATGCAATCATCAGGGATGAGACGGCTCCAAGTTATTATTGGGTTTTGGAGAAGCTGAGAAACTACATCGGGCCTAATGTTCATCCAGCAGCCATCGTCAGCGACTGTGAGGGAGGTCTCTTTGCCCCCATAGCAGAGCTGTTTCCCGAATCGAACCACTTATTGTGCACATGGCACATCAACAACTGCGTGAAAGTGAAAGCCTACAACCTTTTCAAGAAGAATTTGGAAATGGCAGAGAGATTGGTGAATGGTAAGTGGCGGAAGATCCTACAGGCTACCACAGAGGAAGCGTATGAGCGAGCATTGGCTAACTTGGACAATTCCACGACGTACTCCCTCGACGATGCAGGTCGGACCGCCTTCATCGGGCACGCCGGGGGAGGAGGGACAACTTGGACAAATCCAAGCTGGCGAAGACAACGCTGGGGCATGTACGCTTCGACGATGTCACGATACTGAATGAGTCCCATGTACAGGGTCCTGGGTACCCTAACACTAGGGTTCGGGCCGAAAGGCATCCAGTTCACCTGTACAATTACAACATATAAAATATAATAACATGAATATAATATGTGCAAATAATAAAATGTAGACTCTGTAAATAAACGTTACCTCTAAGGGGGACAGCCTGTCCAGCAATAACTGTATCGATCGGAGGCGGTCAACGGACTTCTTCTCCGAGCGCGGACTCCACGCACAAGCACGCGGCATCCCCTCATCAATAGGAACTGGGTCACGATGTGGTCGCAATGCAGGAAAATACTCGTATATCCAAGTCTGCAATAGAGTCAGACACCCAGTGATACCTGCCGCGTCAGCCCGACTCGCAAATCCTAGTTGGCGATACAAATACGCCAACGTAGCCGATCCCCAAGAAAACTGGCCTACACTGTCGGGGTCACACGCCTCTACGATGTCGCGTGGCCTGAGCTTGTTTCCGCCGCTCTTATCCGGAAACAAGGTACATCCGAGGAGTAGAAAAACATAAGCACTCAGCTGTGCGTCGGGCGTCCTACGTGCACTCGGGTACAAACACCGCTGCAACACAGATGCGATCTTCACACCTCCGTGTTCCCAAACACCTAGCGCCTCGGTGTACAGTGCAGCCCTGTCCACCGCCAACAACTCCGCCAGCGAATCTGCCTGATCCGCATCAGCCACAGCCAAAGTCGTTTACCCTCAACACGAATCCCCAGAATGGCCTCGACGTCATGTAACATGATCGTCATCTCACCGAACGGAAGGTGAAAAGAGTTTGTATCCGGCTGCCATCGCTCAATGAAAGCCGTGATCAGCGTACTGTCAATCTTATCGTGCATGGTGGCAGGAACGTGCTTCACCCCAGTGCCCTCCAGTCGCTCGAACATCTCGCTCTCCGCCGGCCAGGCCTCAGCCCATGTACGCAAAAAACTACAAGTCTTTTCCCGGGTATGACATTTCAACAACCCCGTAACTGAAGGCCTCTCCTGGTCCTCCCAAATACGGGCAGCTATGTGTCCTAGAAAGCTAGGAATCACACTCCCGTCAACAGGCCCACCGGGCACCTCACTCCTAACAACCCAAGAATCATTACCCGCCCTCGACCGTTTCCTGCTTGCCCCAGAGACAGTGGACGCAGATGATGTGCCAGATCTACTAACAAACCTACCACCCCTACCCTTACGCACCTCCACCATATGCGTCTCGTACATGTCATCAACCCTCTGACTGAATGGACCGTAATCATCATACGGTCCACTGCCATCGTCCACATCCTCATCCTCATCTGCGCCCTCCTCCTGCTCCTCCTCCTGGTCACCCTCCTCAGCATCATCATCGTCATCGTCATCCTCATCCCGACGGTGGATCCGTTCTCTACGAACTGAGGCCGAAATACCACGGGATCTGACATGTCTATGCCCCGACCTCTCCACTGAATAACTTCTACTAAGAAGCTCTATATTCTTCCCCCCACCATGACGACCCTACACAAAATTTTAAAATATATAAACATACAAAAATTTATACGATAAATAATCATCATCGCAAATCAAATACACTAAAAACAAACAAATAATAGTAAACAAAATATAAACGTAGAAAAAATACAACGAAATTGAAAAAATTTATAAAAATAAACAACAAAATATAAAAACAATTCAAAATTATATTACAAAAAAAAAAAAAAAAAATTTAAAAACAATTTTTTAAAAAAATTAAAAAAAAAATAAATAAAAAAATGGGGGGGGGGCGCCCTGGCTGGACGCCCAGCCGGCGGTGGTGGCGCCAGATGCAGACGCCGCCACCAGTTGGCTGGCGTTTGGGCTGGACGCCACAGCCACGGCTGCGGCGCTTAGACTAAACGCCACAACCGTGGCGGTGGCGTCCAGCCCAGGCGCCAGCCAACTGGTGGCGGCGTCTGCATCTGGCGCCACCACCGCCGGCTGGGCGTCCAGCCAGGGCGCCCCACCGCGTTCACGGCGGTTTTCCCCTTTTTTTTTTTTTTTTAAACAAAATATACCTTTCCACCTTGGGAC